GTTCTGCTCCGCGTTCCTGTCTTCCAGCTCAGGGGAATATGTACTATTCTTAAATTTGAAAATAAAGTTGAAAAATATGAGAGAGCATTGTATTGAAATTCTGGCAAGGCAGGGTGAGACAAGTTTAAATGCAGCAGATTTTAATAAGAAAATACATATACTATTGCTTGAGTGTTTTGCAAAAGATTCACTTACCATACCAACCCATTTTCATGGACAACTTCTCCAAGTGGTATGGGAGATCTTCTGTAGTAGCAAGGGCATTCATTAGCAGGCACACATTTGCCATTCTCATCCATGTAGGTTCCATCTACGCAGGTGCAGCCATCAACTGGGAGAAACTTAATGTTGCATGTAACATCGGGCTCACTCAGAGACCGACAAGTGGGTTGACAGGAAGCAATGGTATAGCTGTAGTTTAGCGATTTGGGACATGAGGTGCTGTATTTTGCTTGAGAGAAGAAAATAGAATAGGTTTGCTATTTCCAGGTGGTAATTTCTGGTGCGAAAAAGAAATCATAAGTAGTAGAAGTAACATGTAAACAATACTGTACTACCTCTGTCTATGTTGCATCTTTCATGTAAATCTATTTCTGAATAATTACAGAGTTAGACCTGAAAAGCTGATGTAAATGTGGAGTAAACGATGTATGCAAAGAAGAAAATATTTTTTCAAATGAAATTTCAGAAAGAAACCTCCATTTGGTGCTGCCATTCATTGCCAAGACTTCTAAAACTTTTGAAGTATGAGAGATGTCTCCCTGAATGTCTCCTGGTATGCTGAAAACAGACCTAGTGCATCAGTGGAATGTAGCGTGCAGCTTCAGAGATCTTTCCTTTGCAAGTGTTCCGGTTAGTATTACTAGAACTGTTATTCTAATACCTCACATTTGCTCCACAATAACTTGTGATATATAAAACTGCAGTGAAATTCAAAGCTGCACAGAAACAGGTGGAGGCACTTCCATAACCGTAGTCTCTTTCCTAAGCAACCTATGTCTCCCATCTCTTTGTATTCACTCTTGCTAGCAAAGAATTGATTCTAAGGGAACAGCGGAGAATTACTTCCAGGAGTGCACTTAGCAAAATCCCTTCCTCAACACTTACTATATTTGCCTGGAAATCAGTATAAAATAATCTCTGATCAGCAGTTTTTGTTGATGTGTGTTCTTAGGAAAAGGGATAGTTAAGAGTACTTACAGCAGACATCAGTCCTCCATCCATGCAGCTGGAGTCCTTTTGCAGCACAAGCTCTCACATAGGAAGACAGGGCTGCACACAGACAATCCTCACTATTTTCACAATTACATGTGTCAAACATGCAGTTCTAAGAATACAGAGAAAAATAAAATCTCAGCACTGGTAACATGGTCAATCTTAAAAAAAAAGAATGTTGTTTTTCTGGTCTTATGCGCTAATCCTTCTTCAGATATGCTTACTCATAGAAAACACTGACATAGCTTTATCACTTTCCAGTCTTTGCCTAAGTTTCCTGACAGGGGAGAATGAAAGTAATGGAAATTCAGTGGATATCTGCAATTATTATTGGGAAATAGTGGTCTTAAAGTCTGTTATATATTTAACAGCTTCATGTTCCTCTGAACCATATTTATGAATATGCTACACAATAGCATACAAAGCTCTATTCACAGTATGCAGTCTAGACATGTCATTTCACCAGTGTCCATACCTGGATGATTCATAGTGAGAAGAAAGATTGGCAACACATTGATAGCAGAATGATGATAATTAGCTAATGGGATTTCTGTGCCAAGTAGTTATTAATGAGATACAAGGCTGATGAGACAAAAATTCACTGATATTCAAACAAGCATTTGACATGCCTACATACATTCCTACTATATGTGTATATCCATCCAGGAATAAATAGCTGCCTTTTCATTTGCAAGCAAGTCAGGATCCTGAAGCCAAGACTGACAATTGAAAGAAGGTAATATTACAACACAAACAGAAACACATGTTGAAAGAAGGAAGTGTTGCTGCACAGAAATGAAAGTACAGACATTGCCTAAGATGAGACATGTCTGGAACAGTCCTTTTCTGGTAGCTAGTTGCAGTGATCCTGTTCTGTTGTTTCTAAAGGGAAAAAAAGTCTAACAAAGTACCGTGTGGTAAACAGAGGGATTCACTGCATAGTGACAATCAGCAAAAGGTCCCTTGCTGTCAGTTAGTAGTCCACACCAATGCTGAGCATATTTTTCTGTGAAGAGAACAAACAATACAAATGCACATTACTCTGTTTTTCATTAGTTACAAAACCACACTGCCCTGGTCCATGAAGCCAGTTCTGAAATTATATCAAATCTCTCCTTCTCCTGTCTTTTTTTCACTCAGCTTTTGGGCTGAGGTTCCTAAAACCAAAGAAGAGGACTTGCTGAAGGGGACGAATGAAAGATTTCCAAAGATACTCCTGCAATCCACTCCTCCAATACCAAGTTGTCAGCTTAGACATCATCTCTGTTTTCAATGACCATACAGTTTCATTCAGTTATGTTTCTATGACTCTTCCTTATTTTGTTACTTATCCCTAGTGCTTTCGTTTTGACTATTTGTTTCTGATTTCAAATGTATGTTTTTACCAAGTATGTAAGTCTTCATTCTCTTAACTTTGCTTTCCAACAGATGTGTTTTCCTCAGAGATAGGCAAAAAAACCCCTAGAAAAAATTCTAAGTACACACCATTATCAATGCTGAGTGCACAAGGGTTCTCAAAACTGTGCTGGATATTAGGACATGAAGCCTGAGTTTTCCACGTATTAGCAAATGCTGTTGCTGTTCCTTCAATTATTCCACTCATGACCCTGAAGTCATCAGTTTGGATATTATTGAAATTTCCACAGAGACCTGTTGAAAAGCAGTGAAAAGTTTATACTGCTCATACTAGACAGAAGACATTAAGCAAGATGTTCTTATATTTCATTCACTTACCACAGGTCTGGTCTTTGAAAATAGGATCCAGTCGCACAAATACTTGCATGATGGGTATGATTTGGATTTCAAGGTGGACGCCAAAGCTTGTCTGCATGATGATGAAGAATGATGAAGGTCTGAACACAGTGACATTAGCTACAGATGAAAAACAGAACGATCACTTTCTGAATGAGTTCAAATGCTGGAAACAGTGCATCATTATACCATTATTCTTGAATTCCTATCGCAAGTGTTGCAAATTCTGAGGTCAAATAAAGGCAATCTTTATGAAAATGAATGAGAAATCTAAATCTAAATTTACAGTTCAGAATTTGCTTGTAGCTACCAAGTTGTTAACTGTATTTGCTGTCTCAACATTAAGCAGTTCGAGATTACTCCTTCCAAGAGAATAAGAAAACTGTATGGCACTGAGCATTTAAAAAGAATACTTCTGGTTTTGTTTCTCAGCTTGTTCAGCATACATTGGAGCCCTCACTTCGCTGGAAAGGGAGAATAAGCAGATCTGGAGGTCAGAGATATTGCATAGAATCATTAGTTATTGAGACAGAGAGCAAAAATCAAATTTCTGTCTGAGGAAGTGTGAGCACAGGAGTGGTAAGTTAAAAAAAAAAGAAGAGGTAGAAGAGGTAAATAGATGTCTTCTGTGTTCAATTTTGTGCAGTGAGAAGGAAGTAATCCTTACAGTGATCAAATCAGGGCAGTCTAAATGCTCTTTGCTTCTGTTTGAACTCTTGCCTATGCTTGTACTGTCTCCTATTCTTTATGATACTAAACTTCCCACTTCTACTTCAGAAGCACTTGTGTGACTCAGGAAATACTGTGAAGAGAACTGAGGTGTGAACATGCAGGTTCTGAACAACTCCTTTTATCTTCCATAGTTTAAGAAAATAAGCAGGTGTGGAGTTGAAGTTCTGAGATAATTGCTCACGGACTGTTGGAGAAAAAATTACCTGCTGAAATGGGCAGCTGGGTGGAGATCGAGTTCATAAACACACCACCATCAGGTTTGACCTCGATGAGCTGATAAGAAAGAGGAACAAGAGGCAACTGTGTGAAGGATAACTATAGTCCAAAGACTAATAATGGTGATGACTCCAGTGATATTACTTTAATAAAGATTAACAGATATTAAATGAAAAGGGTAGGTTTTTGTGATTTCACCTCTTCCCTCTTTCCACTTTGTACACTTTACTAATTTTCCCTGCCATAAAAGTATTATTTTTAAAGACACTTTCTCAGCTTCTTAGGGAATTACATCATCTTGGCTTCTTTGAACACATCTTTGTGATGAATTACATCCCTTACTGTTGTACTTGTAGTTTCTAACCTGAAAGTTCATATTTTTTCCTTCTAGCTGGTAGAGAAAATAGCTTTTTTCTGCTTTGTGAGTACAATGTTTTTCTTAACGAACTTCCACAAAGCCAAATTTATGGCTGATCTGATTTTCTTAACAAAATCAATTTCTTTTCACTTGAATAAAAATAACATGTACTTATCACATATGCTGACCATTTGAGAGAGAAATGCAGTTCCCTGACTGATTAAGGCCTAGCTTCTTTGCTCCCCATATTTTCAATAGTCGTTTCTCATGCTTATTTTGCATTCTTACAGTTTGTCCTTTATTCATGTTGAGAGTCACTGTCCTTAAGCATGTCTCGGTGTCTGTTAGGCCACATTTGCTTAGTTCTACCAGGATGGTGAATGTTTCATCTTTGCAATGCTGAAAAAAAATGCCAACAGTTATTTCATGAAAGGCTAATTACATAAGCTTTCCCTGTAAATTTTTCTCTCAACTCTGAAAAATTATTTCTGTTTCTGAAGAAGATCCAGACTTTCCCAAATCCCAGCCCTTCTTTGGCCTAAGATTCAGTTTTGCCTTTTGTAATGATTAGGAACAATGAGAGAATTATAATCTGGTTTTGCATTTTATTGATGATATCCATATTTGGAGTTTTTATTCATGCCCACTTCTAATGTTTGATTCAATTCTACTGTATCTCTCATCTTTCTGTAGCTGGTATCAATGCTAGACAAAAATTTCAGATAAAACATTTTTCAGGAGAACAGTAACATACAGCTTTTTTTTCTTTTTTTTTTTTTTTACTGAATTGTGCAGATGGGGAAAAAGGAAAGCAAAGAACAAACAGGAAAAGCCCCTAAAAGATCAAAACATTTCACCTGCACATTGCTGTAATTAAATCTTTTTATTATATTTAACTTTTACTTTTTCTACTTCTTTTGACCTATTTTAAAATCTGTTTAAAATGTTCACAACCTAAATGAAATGTATCAGTTGACTTGAACTGATTTTCTGTATTTGAACTTCCCAGAAATGAAATAAAAATATTAGTCTTATAAATTTAATTTTTTTTTTTTCAGAACTTTTAGTGTAATTTTTCAGACTTGTACCATTTGGCTCAATACCATATAATACAGTAATATGGCAAAAATTATGCAACTCAGTAAGAAAGCTGGATTAATCACACTGAAGATTGTAGACTAAACAAGTTCTTAAAAAAGGCAATGCTCTTCAGCAATTACTACATCATAGAACTGGAAATTCCCCAGTAACCACCACATACTGTTACATGACATCCTAATAGTTAACCAATGATTGTCATTTGAATCGCAGCATGTGTTCTAGTAAAAATCTGGCTAAGTGAGAGACAATTTAATATCTGTATGTCAAAACAGGTAAGTTTCAAAAGTGTTGATTGAGATCACGCTTTCTTTCTATAACAGAAAGGCTTCATGACCTAGTAATATCTGATTCCCACCTTAGAAAGGACGTAAGTGCAGTGTCCATGGTGACTGTAATGTTTTTTATCATATGTGGAAATGTGTGAACCTCCCTCTAGTGAACATGTTCCTGGGCATGACATGTCTTGGCAACTCCATTGGCCTCCATTACAGGTACTGGAAGAGAGAGAATAAAGTTAGCTGAAATCTCTAGCAGTGGTCCAGAGTAAAAGGAATTACAGTGATGTCAGGTTCAGATATTTTGCTACTGTTTTGCCCTTCAAGCTGTAGTTTGACACACAGTAAATCTAGGTTTAAGACTTTCCAAAAGGTTGTGAATGTGTGATGCAACACGTTAAAAGGAACAACTGTGGTATACATTCACCTTGTTTATTTAATTGTTTTCCTTCTTTGGACAGGTGAACTCTAGCAACAGGTATTGGATGGGTTTTGCAGCTAACATAGAGCACAATGACAAATTAAATTCTCTTCTGTTTTGTTATACAAATGTATCAGAAACTAACAGAAATGTAACCCCACATCTACTCCTGATGCAGACATATCTGTTTTCTAAGGTAATGTGGTAGTGCACAGGTACAGGATTAATAATTGCGAAATCGAGGTTGTATTGTGTCATCCTTTGCTTTCTCCAGAGAAAATAAATGTTTGCAAATACATAAATGACTGCAACTTCGTTCCTCTTGGAGTAGTCCAAATGTTTGAACAAAATAAGCAAAGAGGAAGTATTTTAATTGACTGGTGAGAAATCTAAACATTGTAAATCCTTGCTTTGATCTCCTTGAGTCAGAGTGCAAAACTAGTTAAGGCTGTTGCTAAATAAAACAGTGAATGTTCTTTAGAGCTATTTTGGAACTGTAGCGGTCAGTTAAATGCACATATCAATTACCAATGACGCAATTGCATATAATAAACCATTAAACTCATTAAATACAGAGAGGAAATAGTAAGTTAGAAAAGTAACAAAGATTACCAGGAATGGCACTGCTCTGAAAAAGAAGTTCCTGTAGCGTAGGTCTTGCCATTGTAAACACAGGAGCACTGCTGAGGGGGAATGCAGCCAGAATTGTTGATGTCATCAAATACAGTCCCTAGATTAAAAAAAAGACAAAACCTTGATCAGTTAAAGAGGCATTTCCTATACACTACTTTCGTTTTTTACAAATCCTAAGTATCGCCTTAGAGACAGATCTGCAGCTGTCATGAATGGACGTATGTCCTGGTTTCAGCTGGGATGTAGTTAACTGTCTTCCCAGTAGCTGGTACAGTGCTATGTTTTGAGTTCAGTATGTGAAGAATGTTGATAACACTGATGTTTTCAGTTGTTGCTCAGTAGTGTTTAGACTAGAGTCAAGGATTTTTCAGCTTCTCATGCCCAGCCAGGGCACAAGAAGTTGGCACAGGACACAGCCAGGGCACCTGACCCAAACTGGCCAACAGTGTATTCCATACGATGTGACGTCCCATCTAGTTTAGGAACTGGGAAGTGGGGGGCAGGGATTCGCCGATCGGGGACTGGCTGGGGGTCGGTCAGCGGGGGGTGAGCAATTGCCCTGCGCATCATTTGTACATTCCAATCCTTTTATTACTACTGTTGGCATTTTATTAGTGTTATCATTATCATTATTAGTTTCTTCTTTTCTGTTCTATTAAACTGTTCTTATCTCAACCCAGGAGTTTTACTTCTTTTCCTGATTTTCTCCCCCATCCCACTGGATGGGGGGGGAGTGAGTGAGCGGCTGCGTGGTGCTTAGTTGCTGGCTGGGGTTAAACCACGACAACGTACCTATGCTGAGGACAGTAGGACTATGCCAATTTGCATAGTGAAGGATTCAACCTTTGTATTATTAAATTCCACCTGCTTTGAAAGAGGGACTTATTGTAGCACAGGTGGCTTGTTGAGAGACTGGTCTTCATCTGTTTGCTGTTCTGCTTTCCTGCTTTCTTAATATTGCACATGTATTGGCAATTAATTCAGATATCTTTTCTCAGCTGAGACATGACAAATGCCTGTCACTTGCAGCTGTGAAAAATGCAAATATAAAAGGCTTCAACCCCATGGAACCTGCCCAAATCCTGCAGGTAAGCTGCTGTTGTTCTTTGAGATCAGACACATGAGTACATAAGAACTTGCCTGGGGGGCAGAAACAACCATCCATGCAGTGTTCTTCACAAAACTGAGATCGTTCAGGGTTGGTGCATGTGTCAGCACAGGGGGAGCTGCACTCCTGGTACTGCATGTTGGAAGGACACTTCTTGGCTGAAATTTTAAAGGAGGATAGAATTTTTTTCAGTATTTCTAGCCACTGTATATGAAAATATTTACATTCATTTAGTTTTTTCAGCTAGATGTAAAACCACACTAAACTGCCGATCAATCACCAGCTCTCAACATTTGCAAATTTAGTCACCTAGATCCATATTTTACAGTTGAGATGTACTTTCTATGACTGTCTGGTGCTGAACTGGCTCAATGACTGGATTTCTGGGGACAGCAAGGTAATGACCCCACAGAATCAACAAGGCCTGTGTTTCTACTGAAGGCACCCTTCTCATGAATACCTGTATTGCTAGTGAAATGTAAGTCGTAAGCTCCTAAAGCTTTGGTATATTTGCATTTTTCAAATACCATTGGAAGGGCAAATAGTATCTCTTGGGTTTTGGTTTTGGAGCAAATGCTGGTGACAGTTTTGGAGCAAATGCTGGTGACAGTTTTGGACCAAATGCTGGTGACAGTATCAACAGCTACACCCCATAATCTAGTACATGTTTAGTTCAGTGCAAATCTCTGTGAAGATTACAGTGGTGCAGACTCCTCACTACCAAGCAAGAGGAGATAAATAAGTGCTTAACGAGCCAAACACCTATGAAGACCCAATCAGTTAATAATTGAGAATAAAAAATGCTGTAGCCACCATGAGAAAAGGAAAGAAACAGGAACGCAAGCAAGCAAGTAAGCCTCATTCTTTCTCCTTCTTTCTCCTTTGCTTCCTTTACTGTCCCAGTTAATTAAATAAGACTTTGACTTTCCATTAGAGTATCCATGTAAGTGTTTGAGAGTGTTTAATTCAGTTTGCATTAAAACCCTTAGCTCTTTTGCTGAAGTCTTCATGCTGGAACTTGTACATCAGAACCCTCTGGGGAAGACAATCTTGAATGGCCTGTAACTTCTTACATATCCTCAACATCATCTGAGAGCTTGTTGTTTGTTAGTTACTGAGCATGAAGTAAGGGTATATCTCCAGTGATACTTACGGCACAGTTTTGAGGTTCTCCAGTTCAGAGGATGCCCACCAGCATGAGCACACTGCCGAGAGTATTCAGCAAAGGTGTCACAGATACATGAGGCATTTTTAGACTCTTCAGAGTGGCACAAGTCATCTTGGCAAGCCATAATGTACTCTCTAACATCAACTAGGTCATTACACTCTGCAAATGCAGAGCCGGTCAATGTTTTCTGGCATATGTCATCCTTGGGAGAAAAAAAATTAAACAACCTCCAGAAAATAGAAAGGAACAATTTTTTGGTGTTGTTACTTTGTATAGTTATTCTTTAATAGAAACTTATATCCCTCTCTGAGTTGCTGTCACCCGAGGGCTTTTCCTGTTGACACATCTGAAGCTGTAGAAGGTTACAGATAAATTTGAAAGAAAAATAAAAGAATAGTCAAAAGATCCTTACAGAATTATCAGTGCAATTATCTGGCAGGGTAGAAGTGGAGTCTTCACAGTGTTCTGTTGGCCCATCCATTTTCTGCATATTCCCAAACTGCAAGGGTGTCATCTTAATATCTGTACAAAAGTTTAATAATAAGGGTTGGATTTTTTTGTTCAATGCAACTGCCTGTTATCTTTTTATCCTCTCGAATTGTGCTCAAGACTGGCCAAGGCAGCTAGCTCCCTTAAGTCTTTAAAATTGACCATCAGCCCTTCCAAAGGAAGCACTACACCACTGTCTCAATTTACCTTGTACAGCACCCTGGAAAAAGCAAACATTAGAAAACAATTCTCAGCCTATTACATCTAGATGCAAACTAAGATTTTGACCAGAAAAATAACAAACTGTTTTCAGATTATATTGACCTCATGCAGGGAAAAGAGAAGAGAATCTAAACAGGGATTTGGACATTGGAGACCGCTGTGAGACAAGGTTTAGGAGAAAGCTCAAGCTGGGAGTAGAATGATGAAGATAAGATCTTACAAAGATTACGCAATTCAGCAGGCTTATGTGGTTATACCAATTTTAAGACTGAACTGAAACAATAAATGTACTGACTAGACAATACAATTACTTCTTGTTTTATTGAATATATTTCTATATTTATTTATGTTATTAATGAAAATCTGGCTCATTTTAATGGGGTTAGCTGATCAGGTAAATAAAACCATGGCATACAAGAAATATGCAATCAGTTGTTAGCAGCAGTACTACATTTATACTTGAAGTATTGAATCATATTATCAGATCTCTGTACTACATATTTTTCAATAGAGATTGAATCATATCCTCTGGGTAAATCATTTAACAGGATAGGAGAGAGGAATGTTGATGATGTTAGAGTTAAAAGAATACCAAAAAAGCATATTGGAGACTCCAGAAGCCAATTTTTATTATTTAAAAAACTTACTGTTTGAATAGAACTCATTGTAAATTGGAAAGCCATTGAAGTCCCCACAGAGTCCACAGGTCTGATTGGCATATTTCTCATTCAATTCTAGCTAAAATGATGGACAGTAAGTTGATAGAAGTTAGTATAAACATTCTAAAATATATTCAAGACCACCGAAAGCACCTGCACCTGCTACCTCTAAGTATTTTTCCTCAGATCTGTGTAATTTTATTTAGCAATCTAATTCAAACCTGGGTGATAGAATGAAGAGTTGGCTTGGATTTGATTTACAATGCAGAGTCCAAGCTATTGATGCAGAATTAAGTTTTCACTGTAATATCTATATTGCTCTCAGCCTCTTTCTCTCTATTCATTCTTCAGAAAGAAAATCAAATCTGCAGCAAAAATGAAGACCTAAGAGACTGAAATTCTGCTAGAAAATTATATTTGAAGGGGTAAGTAGGCCCTGTAACAATGTCAATATGTTAATGATATAATGAAAGGGATTTTTTTTAACCCTATTTTAAGCGGACGCCTGCTATCCACTAGATGTAAATCCATGTAATTTTCTTTAGGACTACCTGGATGCAAACCTATCTTTATTAAGAAAGAATTGCTCAACAGTATGAGATTAGAAGGCAATAGTAAGCCCCTAAACAGATAGGGACTGGCCTAATCAAAGATTAGCTCTGGTCTCTGAAGGTGTAGACAGGTCCCGAAGCAGTTCTTACCAGGATACTGTCATCTTCATTCCACATTAACACAATACCCATTTTGCTGGCAACTTTCACATAAATGCTGCTTTTCTCTATCATAATTCCAGATTGGCTGTACGGCAGTTGAACTCTGGGAAAAGGCAGAAAGAATGCTAGGTATTTTCTAATTCAGATGTTTGATAAAGAGAAAAAAAGTGGCTTGTGGTATCCAGCATCTGTAGGGATTCTAAGATAATGCAGTTGTGTGGAAAGAAAAGCGATTAAAAAATAAAATGGTCCAACTTCATCAAATCTGGATCTGAATTTGGATCCAACCTCTCAGGATTTTTCATCCAAATTTTATTTTTGAGGTAATCTTTAAGGGAATGATAAATCTACTGCAAAAGGAATTAATAGCAACCTATTCATTATTTATGCTAGTAAAGTTGTCAGATTTATTGAAGAACACATAATTTTTTTCCCCCAAATACACCAAAGTACTTGGCAAAAAGTACTTTTTTGAAAAAAAAAGTCTGTGGTTACCAAACAAGTGCTACGAATAAACTTACCTGTTGCTGTTGATCATGACAGTATCCTTTGTTAGTTCAGCAGCAACACCTTCAAGTTTCATGGTGATACGGTTAATTGTTGGAGCATTTTCCACCACTGTGCGCCTAATCTGGATGTTGAAATCCTCATAGGGAGCATTGCAATGGGATGCAAAGACATAATTACAGAGCCCAGGGAAGGAGAATATGTATCCGTCAAAGGTCTTGAAGTGGAAGTTGCCCCATGTGCTGCACACACGGCCATTGTGAGCAGGATTGGAAGCTGTGAATTAAAAGTAGCTTTAAAAAAATCCCCAACCTTAACATGGTGAAAATCAACTTGTCCAAAGCTTCATTTTGTCATTGAATAGTTTTTGCCTGCCCACCTCCATTTGTTATTTTCTGTCAATCTATCCATTATAAAACTGTGCATTCATTCTTCACTCATCTTATATCTGTTACTCATCTTATATACCCCTATAAATGGTTATAGTTATATTCAGCTAGAGCTTATTAGTTGTTCGCTTTTCAGCTGAAATAACAGTTTGATATTATGTTTCTTAATCACCCTCTTTCTCCTCTTAGTAATCCATGACTTCCCTTACCAATGCCTTTCCCTATTTGTATTAGATTCCTCTGTCTACATCTCCTAAAACTGAAAACTTATTGAACATATTTAATTTCCTTTACTTACATGTTATTACTGGATTTGTCAGCATTGGCTGGATGATGTTCACCTTAGATGAAACTGTAGCAAAAGATAGAAAAAAAGTAAGAAAGAAAACAAAAACTAGTATAATACCAAAAATTGCATGTAAAATTGACCTAGAAATGACTAGAAAGTTAATATGCCAGATCCAATGAAATAATGTTAAGCCCGTTTTGTTTTATACAGGCCATGGATCAGGTTAAAAGTGCGTACTCAGATTCAAAAGAGGATAGTTAAATCATAAGAAATTGCTTTCAACTGTGATGATCTGCATTTTCTACCTTTTAATTTTGACCCTTTTATGAAACTCTGTATTGTGTTAGAATAGGCAGAAATTCACAGGTCTGCACATTGGAGTGCTTCAGACACACTGAACAATAGAAAGTATTAAGCTGTACTAAATTAGCCTGTTACTGGTACAAAAGCGTAGTTGCCTTCTCATTACACCTCCTCTTTCTAAAGAGGGAATAAAAACTTTAATTATCCCCTTTGCTCTCTGTTTAATATTTTTCTGCTAAGGGGCTGAAAACCGTTTACAAATGACCACAAATCCATTGTACAGGATGATCACAAATCATTATGTCGTAAAAATCAATGAAGTTGGGTTGACATCTTGATTTCCCAGCATCAGCCCCTGACTTTATAGCTTGCCAAAGTGGTCTTATTTCCTTGTTTATAAGGAACCAAACATCCTGCACATATATTCTACTTTGATTTTTTATATATATATATTCATGCATATATGCATATAGCCTCTACAAACACATATCTGCTTTCTTAGTCACCTATTATTATACAAATATAACCATACTTTGTTCAGTAATTGGCATCTAATAAATATATTACTATTCTTATAGAGACGCTTGTTAATACACATTTATCTTTATTTGACACTACCAGCAATATGCTAGGGAGGTTTTTTAGGCATTTTTATTATTTAGTAGAGATGTAGCAAATAAATACAAATACACAGTATAAATGAACGTACTGTTTTGTTTCTGCTGAACAACCTCAGTGTATTTGCTTCCTGGTTCCTGTTGGATTTCAATCTGGGCTCCTGTGAAGAAATTGTAAAAAGTGTATTAAGCAAGTACAATGTCCTGCATCTGAACTTTTAAAGCAAAGCATTTAGATAGGATCAAAGGACCCAGATACATCTCTGTAAGACAAAGCAGAGAGTCCTTTATCACATCAGAAAAAATGAAACAGCCCCCCTCCCCCCCCCCGATGTAAAATGTAATTATAGAAAGAGACTTTCTATTACAAATACACAGAGTTTGAAATCCAAATAACATTTCGGGTATATCTGCTTTCTTTGTTTCCCTTAAAGCTCACTACAGGGGGTTCTAATGACTGGATCACAGCCCTTATTTCACTGCTGCACTAAATCTCACTAATAGGTGAAACAATCACAGGAAGAATTCACAAAGTGTAAGGGAGTAATTTATTAAAATTGCTGTGTAGTAGCTAGGCAATAATAAGAAAAGGACCAGAACTGGTTAAAAGAAACAAGGGTGTGATCCAATACTGGTTGCAGATATTTGTATGCCATTTTCTTTAGTACCTAAGCATAGGGACTTTTCTTCCAGAGCAAATCTAAAGCCTCAGTCAAGGATCTAGATTTGTTTTACAGCTGGATGCAAGAAGGTACCTCTGCATGATAATACAAGGGCCCATAGCCTGAGCAGTAACCCAGGAGAAGAAACCAAGAGAAACCAGGTTTCCTGTTCTACCCCTCTTCTCACTCTGAGATGGTTCAAACTCACATCTTCTCTGCAGAAAACCTTAAACATCATACTCAAAGTCTATTTGACCAAGGGTTCTTGCTACCCCACCTGAAGCTGAGACATGGTGCCAAAACCAGTGGGACAGTGACAAAGGAGGAAAAACTAGGCCATGATCATGTGACCACATGATTAGGGCACCCAGCTACATCAAAACTGTCCTATTCTTGTGCCTTGCTTCAAGGCTTATTTTTGTACCTCCAGTTAAATGGATCAACTACATGAACCATTTTCCAGATGAGTTCTCCTTCTATCATGACTCTGTAAGTTTTAAATTCCTTTCCATGCATGGTGCAGTAATACCATACCAGAGGATGTATTGGCAAAGACTTGAGAAATGACAAATATTGACCTGAACAATTTCATGCCTAGAAAAAGACTGACCCTGAGCTCCTAGGTTGGTGCTCTAAGCTCTTGTCTTTTATAAATAAATATGGCAGACATTTCCTGTAAAAGAAAAGTGGCTACAACTTTATTTTGTGAAAGACTGAATCCTGTCAGCATGTGATAACCTCACTTAGAACATGTTGACTAACATGTAGTTATAACCTGCCAAGTCTAAATCCTCAAAGGATTTAGGTGATGGAATGATTAATACCTTAATCCTGATGAGGAGTATGTGAATGAGCACTCTAGGTGTCTAGAGAATTTCTCAGTCAGAGAGGAACTGCCTGTGTAATTTAGTCCTAAATTAAGCCCCCTTTTTCCTTATGCAATAGGTGGGAAGAGTTCACTGACTCAGAACAGGATGCATAACACCCATCTCACTGAACAAGGAGCCATGTTGGTGGAAAACAGGGAAATGCTGAAGTCAGCCATAAACCCCAGTCCCCTTTGGTGCTTACATTCCTTGCTGAGCATTTCCTCCACTTAAGAACCTCAGCCCAGATACCTCCATGAAAGCTGGACAACTACCTTTGCCTTAAAAATAACAGGATCAGGAGCATCTTTTTTTTAAAATTATTTTTCTAATGTAATTTCTGGCTGGGCCTACCATGTAAGCAGATTGAGTACTTGATCCCAGAGCTGAAGGATGCCTGCCTGAAGAGATTCAAGCCCCCACTCCCAAAGAGGTCCCCAAGAGACTGATGGCTTTGGAGGAGAGGGTTCTGGGGAGCCTCACAATATCTAGAAGTTGCTGCAGTGTCTGCAGTTTCTTTCAGATCTAAGATTTTAATTCTTTTCTCATTTAACTTTATGCGTGACCACTAGTGATGCACAAAGAAGTAACAGGGCAGCTTTTAACCATTTTCCATTTCCTGTTAGTCTTTCAGTATCACAGATAATGTAATTAGGGAAATGCATTCATATCATTATAATTGATACTGATCAGGTGAGAAAAATGCCTCTGTAAGTCTTAATAATAGGCCAGAATTTGGTCTCGCCCAACACATCTATAGGAATCTCAGCAGGCATAGAATCATAGAATGTTTATTCTAGCATGAGAAATTTGTAGCAGAGCAAAAGAGTATAAACATGTATTTTGGTCTGTTAATTTTTCTCAAGGAAACAGCAGAGCCTTTTATTTGCCTAGCAAATACATCATTCCCAAGGAAATTCTAGCTGCATTGGTTTATTTAGTAATTGCACAATGCCATGTTGTTGATGATTATAAAAATAAGTGTCAATTGTAAGACTAGTCAAGATAATTTACTATTTGATAATTTGGGAACTGACCTAATTATTAAGAATATTTCTGGATGTACCTTACTAAGTCTATATCCAGCTGCCAATCCACATATGCAATTATCATTACAATCTATTTATAAAAGTTAGTATTTGACCCAAAATATAAAGTCACGCAGAGAATGTGTGTGGGCCAATATTCTTTAGTCACTCAGGACTTCTGAAAATATTTTCCACAGAGTGTGATTCAAATAAAGAGGGGTTTGCTGGACACTGTCTAACCACTACTCATCAGATTAGCATTGCACAGTACAAATAACTTTCTTGTTCAATGAATGGCTAAAGATGCTTTTGACTGACATTGCATAACTCTAAACGTAAGCTTATACTCTAAGTGATTGTTTTATTTTGTGCTTAAATCAACTTGCCAGTATTTTAGTGTTTATTTCACAAACTATAAAGTAGCCTAAGATTATATTTGCACTTGTCAATATTTTGAAAATGATATGAAAGATAAATTTACATAGGCAATCTGAAGATTTAAAAATGTTGGCTGACAGGGCAGTAATTACTGTACATGAATGGGACTAACTTAGCAAGCTTGTACTCATGCAAGTAATTTCAATTTGAGTGGTCCCATTGACTTAATAGAGCTACTCATACTAATAAAAATTGACAGGAGAAAAAAACCAATACAAAATGATGGATTGCATGTGTCAGATAAATGTCCCAGTCCTGCTCACATTTAACATCAGTAATTTATATAAATATTTTGCATAGGGTATTAGCAATGCACAATTAGTTACTGAAAATCATTGCCACATGAATATTCCCTTCTAGTCTCTTTTGCAAGAGAAGTTGCAAGAAATCTTGAGGAATCTGGTATTAGCTCCTGGTAGGTGACAAGATACTGGAAAAGATTGACCAGTGGTCTGATCTAGCAACTGGAAAAGGTAGTGTTTTAAATTTCTTAAAAAACATAACATTCATAATCAGTCCTAATACAAAATGCAACAGGAATAAAATGCTTTTGTAAGGCATAAGTGATACTGAAAACCTGACATTTTAAGATATGAATAATGGTTCTTTTTGATTTGATCTTCAAGGCTATCTTCCAAATGCAGTTATATGTAGCAGTTTGAGGCAATAGGAAATTAAATCAGTCCAGTTAATAGACAGACATTAAATATTTAATGAAAATGGAAAAAAAAGATAAAAAGAAATCTTGTTTCAATGCAACCATCTGTTAAGTGAAACAATAAAATGAGTATAGCTTTTTAAAATATATTATTAGATCTAAACAGAGTATTTTTTCTTTTCCCAATAAAAAAGAGAACTTCTTACCTATCTGATGGATACAGTAAACTGCTAACAGGAAAGCCCATTCTGGTACCCATATCCCTCTGCCAAACCCCATCTTCAGTGGAGCCTGGCACAAGGACGTTGGGTCTGAAGTTGGTCAGGAGTAGTTCACCTGTGCTCTGTCGGTCTTATATAGTAGGTGACTTTGGCTTCAGTCCCAGATTGATTCAGAGAGTCTAGTAAGGTGAGGTTTGGGGGATTTTAGCAAGTGAACAGGTAAACAGAGGATGGTCTTCCTTCCTCAGAAGCTGGCCAATGGTATTTGCATTTTGGGAGGAGTATATGCATATACGTACGTACATTTTGTTAAGGTTCAATCTAATAAAGAAACATAACATGATTGCAAATCAAACACAACTCCTCCACCAATAACAGGTCCTGGAACAAATTTAATTTGGTGTTGCTTTACAGTTGTGCAGGTGGCATGCAAGTAACTATTCTAGGTTTTTCAAGACTGTAACTGATGCCAGGCAGCTCCTTGGCAAAAAGATCCTGCTTATTTCTGAAGTCTGAGGAGGTGTGGAGTATTTCCTATGTGGAGACCCAGCATTAGGAAGTCATGCCGTGCTTCTTGGGGCAGCTGTCTTCTAAAATGAATGGACTAATAACCTTGAAGGGTCCTGTACTATCACACAGTCACACTGAGTGTATGCCATGGAAACCCTTCTGTGTGGCACTGACAAGCATTAGACACCTATCTGAGGAACATTAAGCCAGCTTCACCTAAACTGTATCCTACATTTATTAGAGATGGGCTTAAACCTTGAAACCTACTTCTGAATTCTCTGCATAATCTGATTTTGCCTTCTCGTTGCAAGTATCAGAAGTAATTTCATCCTTCAGCTTTGTAGAAGAAAAAAAATGTTACATTGATTATGGCCTGCGATCACAATCACATTGTTTCAGTATCATTCCTGTGTAATTCCATTCACATCCATGGACTTATAAGGACTACAAATTAGAGAAACAGGCAATGAATCAGGCCTATAAGGCTTGCCAGTAAATGTTTAACATATTTTTTTCCGAATATTGGCTTTTTGCAGTTCTACTGGATTATCATTTCAAAAGCAGGAATGAACATATACTTCAATAAACACAGACTTAATGTCACTTTATCCTTTTTTAGCTTGGCATCGGAGAGGACTAGGATGAGTTGCTCTGGGCAGATTTCTGTCTGTTTCCAAGGTCAATAGACCTTACTTTAATATGGTAAAATGTGGACAAAAACGTTCAAAGTTAGTGAAGCCATTCTTTTAAATCTGCTAGGTTTGGTAAAAATGATGCA